GATAAATCAGGAAGATTACTTACAAAGCAGTCTTTTGTGGTAGAAGTGATGGTTCTACCATACTTGTAACAAGGAGCAGAATTTACAGTTTTAGCTATATGAAGTTTGCACAAGACTGGATAATGATCTGAGATATCATCGCTTGGCTGCATAATTTCAACACCATTAACATCAATTCCATGTGACAGTATTCAATCTAGAGTATGATTTCAACAATGAGTAGGTCCTGAGATGTGTTGTCTAACCCCAATAGAGTTCAGAATGTCTATGAATGCTGATCCCAATGCATCTTTTTCATTATCAACATGGATATTAAAATCACCAACAATTAAAACTTTAACTGCAGCCAGCACTAACTCGGATATAAAATCAGCATATTCTTTAATAAAGTCTGTATGGTGCCCTGGTGGCCTGTGTATAGTAGCCAGTACAAACGACACAGGGGATTTATCATTAACACTTGTTTCGCTGGACAATGTTATATGAAGCACCATTACTTCAAACGAGTTATACTTGAAGCTCGCCCTCTGAGAAATACTGAAAATATTGTTATAAATTGTAACAACACCTCCCCCTTTACCTTTTGGATGCGGCTCATGTTTATACCAGTAATCTTGGGGGGTAGACTCGTTTAAAATAATGTAATCATCAGGTTTTAGCCAGGTTTCTGTCAAACAGAGCACATCTAGGTAAATACATCTATCATTTACAAAAAGTGCTTTCGTAGAAAGGGACCTGATATTCAATAAGCCAAGCTTTAGTGGTTTAGCCTGTCTGTCTGCTTCCTGACCTGGGCCCCAGTTATTCAAGTACAAACTCTAAGACTATGTGCCACTCACACACACACACACACACACACACACACACACACACACACACTCTCACACACATATATACATATATGTGAGTGTGAGTGTGTATGCGTGTGTGTGCGTGTGTGTACATGTGCGTGTGCGTGTTTGTGTGTGTGTGTGTGTGTGTGAGTGTGTGTCAGTGTGTGTGTGTGTGTGTGTGTGTGTGTGGGTGTGTGCGCGCGCGTTTTTGTGAAAGAAAACAAATAGATAGAATAAAAAAAATAATAGAGAATGCTAGTTTTAGAGGGTCAAGTGTTGTTGTTTTTTTTATAAATAAAAAAATAAAACAGATAAAATAGAATTAGAATAGAAAGTACTACACCAACTGTGCTTATCTTCTCCAAATATGAAGGGCATTTCTCAGTATCGTGAAGTCCAGTGAATGATGGAATCAGAGTTTGAAGCCCGGGCAGAACTGTTTCTCTTCTGCTGGTATTCAGGACGGATGAAGAGAAAGTGTCTCATCCTCTGATCTACAGATCCTCTGCTCTCTCCGTGTCTGTGCTAGTCTTCCTCTCTCTTCTGGATCATGACCACTTCATCTGAATTTGGAGATGATTCGTCTTTAGAGATAATTTGCCAATTTAGAGGTTCTTTCTGGGGTCGAGTACATAGGAGTTTTTTTTTTTTGGAGATCAAATTGTGTTTTTATTGCTTCATCATGAGTGTCTTTTAGATTTTTCTCAGTTTCTTTAGGGCTGTATCTGTAGTCAGTCAGTGCTGTGTTTCATGGAGCAGCTGAAGAGCGAGTGTGTTTACAGGATAAGATCTGGAGAGGTTTCTCTGGCCAGAAGTGCTTTATATTGCACTGAATCTGGACCAGAGCAGTGGAGGTGATGAACACATCTCAGTGTATTCAGCTCTGCTGGACCCCCACTGGACGTGCTTCTGTGGACCTCTAAAATGTAAAAAGTAAAAGTCTATTTCTATTTGTAGTTTTTCTACAAACATTTTATCCCACTTTTTAAAATGTAATACTGATCCCCAAATTTCACATCCATATGAAAGCATTGGTTTTATTATTGAATGACATACTTTTACCTAAGCCTTAATAGGCGATTTTAAGTGACCAGATTATGACTTTGTAGCATAAAAAGGCCTCCTTGAACTTCTGTGCATGAAAGCCTCATTGCTTCAGAAAGCTTGGTTTTTCTGCAGAAAGTCACACGAATGTAATCACTGCAGGTTCATTTGTTACTGATGGACTAATAAGATCCAGTGCATTGCATTATTCAAATAGTGAGGCAGAAGGTTGATATGAGATTCTTAACATAGTATTATTTTATTTGTAGGATTTCAAGTCTTTCAGATGTAAGATGTCCATTGGTCTTTTTTTTTTCTTTAACTTTTTTTTCTTTTATTAAAAAGCTGCTCCATTCCACTGAAGAGAAACTACTGTACATACAGAAGAGAAACTACCTACATACACCGAAGTTCAACGATCTAAAGAAGAAGAAAAAGAAAAAAAGAGAGACAAGGTGGAAAGGACTGCACAATGTGGCATTCAGAAATGAAGAGCAGGAAGAGTCAGGCCAGATCAGATTTAATACTTGAAATTCTAGTTGCACTAAATCAGGTGATTAAAACAAGGAATGCAGTGGGAATCCTGAGATACAGCGCAATGAAGAGGCTGATGAGATGACAACAAAATAAATAAAAAAGCCGTACACAAGAATGAAGTAGAACCGAAAGTAACATATGGAAGAGATGAGTGCAAGAATATTATTTTGCAAAAATAACAAAATTATAAAAAACAAGAAAGGGGAGAGGGGAACAAAGGCGCTATTTTTTACTACAGCCAGCATTAAAACACATCAAACATACTAGGTGCACTGTGCACTGAATTATGGGATGGCAAGCATCCAGATGATGCACTGATGGAATGCGTTATTCATCGCACAGCAACAGATCTCTTGTTTTCTGAGCTGCTGGAATCTGGAGGAACAGATTCTAAGTTCTGAAGACTATGAAACAACAAAAGCTGTTATCAACCTTTTACACCGAGCCGGTCTTTACGTAAGAACGCACTAAGCGGAGTTCTTCAAATGGACTGAGGAGGGCAGCAGTGCGCCTCTGACGCGTCGAGTCTGCCGCAAAGCTCATAACAACAACAAGAAGAAGAAGAGGGGGACTTTTGTTGTTTGCGTTCTCCTGCGGTGTTCGTCTGTCTCGTCGGGGCTTCCGTAGGCTGAAGGCGCGCGTGGTGTGGAGTGAGTGAGTTACGCTGATCTGATCGGATCTGATCAGAAGGTGAGCGCACTTTCCCTGCCGTGTTTTCTCGGGTCCCGCGTGTTTGTGAAGTCTGTGTGCTGTGCTGTGTGCAGGATGTGTTCTCTCGGTGTGTTCCCGGCTCCGGTAACGGCTGCACAGACGCTGCTCGAGCGCAACAACGAGCTTCTGTCCGCGCTTCATCCCGGAGAGCACCCACAGGTCTGAGAACGCTTCCTATAACCCCTTCATAAACACCAGCAGGTGATGCAGCACTGCTCCAGACCTGACCGCTAGACGAAACCCACCCAGTGTACCTCACGAACATCATCTTCCGCTCGAGTAAACATCTCTAGCATCTCTCACTGACCGACCGACCGACCTCGTGAAGAGCGCTTCTCCCTGAAACACTCCTGACACTCACTAAAGCTAACCGCATTCTAAGAACGCCTTCACATTATTGAGCTCTGTGCGCATCTGCTCATTTCTCCAGTGTGTTAATGCCAGTGTTTACGACCGCTTGACACTACAGTAGATTTGCTTTTGGGATTGCACAGGTTGTTTTTCATGATGGTATTAAGCTGATTTCTATATCACAGTTTAAGATATTGAAGAACACAACATTGCTACAGTAACATTTCACATATTGGAACAAAAACAAAAAAAATTGTGAAAAAAAAAACTTTTTTGTACTTTAGTAAGTTATCCTTGATTCTGTTCTGTAATTGAAAACAAAAATAAAAATAATTTTAGATTTGACTAAGAAAAAATCCGAAACACACTCCAATGAGCAGTGTTGCCAAGTCTTGGGCTACTTTAACACTGTTGCTCTGGGTTGTCTTTCCTGTCCGTGGATTGAAGCGACCCCAGTAACGTGATATTTAGCCCCAGCGATGTGACTTTTACCAGGGGAACCTCACCAAAAAACATGTATTTTACTCCTGGAATGTGATTTTTACTGGGGGACCCCCTCGAAACGCCATTGGGCTAGTTTTGAGTAGCAGTTGGGTGGGTTTTGTGGTGAACATCTGGCAACCCTGCCAGTGACTTTCAACAGCAACTCCTTTATATCAGAGAAATGTTTCCATCACCTGTCCCTAGCTCCGTTTTTACAGCAGAAGCAAATGCTATCATTTTGGCGTTAAACTGCATAAAGACTATAGAACAGAGAAATGTTCTTTTAATTCTAAATTCAAAGTCCTGTCTTCAAGCTCTTAAAAACGATCACCTCTAATGCACATAATGATTTTTTTACAAACTGCTGCAGCTAGAGGATGGTGATTTTAATACCTGGTTTTGTTGGGTACCAGGGCAGACTCTGCTGCAAAAGAAGCATTATCGGCAGACCTCGACATCTGTGCAGTTCCTCCTATGGATTTAAAACCAGTAATTTGTTCCTATGTTCATAACAAATGGCAAAAACAGTGGGATCTATATAAAAATGAATAAACCCCATGAAATTAGTCTCAATGTTGAAAAAATACATTTCAATCAGTTTTCCAAGCGATGGCAGCAGATTGTTTATACCCGCTGTAGAATAGGTCTCTGCAGGATGACACAAGTTTTTAACACTAGAAGAAGATCCTCCAACATGCTCTCTCTGCAGAAACCCTTTATCCATGAAGCATGTTTCATTAGACTGTGCTGGTTTTAACCCTGTGAGAGAACATGTTTATTCAGTTAACTCTTTTGAAGAGATATTGTGTGTGTCTGGTTGGTTGCAGCCGTGTGATCTGCCCAGTCCTCAGTTCACCAGAGACACTCTGAAGGGTCACAGTCGTCCGGAGAGCAGCAGTAGATCAGCCTTCCTGGACCAGAGAGACACGCTGTGGATGAGGAGCGCCGGAGCCTGGTGAGAGCTTCCACTTCTGCATCATTACACTCAAGGACTTTTGGGGTGACTTTAACTACTCCTCAGTTTGACAGCTTAATGCGAATAACGCTCTCAATAGCTCTGTTCCTCGCACGAAGCTTTCACGTGGCTCCAGAAGGCATGAACTGTTTTCATGACACTCCCATGGTGTTTTCTGAGCGCTTTGAACTGGAATCCGTTGAAGAAAAAGCTCGGTGTGTTTCCTGCCGGGTTGAATCCTTTCTCCTCAAGTGTTTGTTTCTGAAGCAGATCACGATGTTAGTCTTAATCAGTAGTTTTCTATTATGTATTAATGCTGCTCATTTCGATTATAACACTTTCTGTTTTATCACATGCAAAATGCGTGTCGTATATTCTTGAGTATTTGAAATGGTTTCACTTTATTTTGATGGTCCCTTTAACACATTCTGTTGACTATACTTGCACCTACACATCTACGAGCTCTCATTAGAGTGTTAGTAGAGTACTAGTAGACTGGTAGGGTTAGATTAAGTTGACATGTACTTGCGAAGTTACTTATAGTCAGTAGTCTGTTGGGACATCATCACAATAAAGAGACAGCAGATGTTTACTGAAGTTACTAAATGTCAACCGAATGCTCAGAAGGGACCCTCAAAATAAATCATCTGAACTGAAATGATCAGACGTTGGGTTTAGTGGAGCTGTGACGAGTTGACTGCACTGGTGTCTGTGTTTCAGGCGTGACGCGGGTCTGTACGGTCTGTTAGATGAGATCACTAACAGCGCAGAGGAAGGTAAGGCTTTCTGACCGGCTATAATCACACAGCGGTCGCTGACAGACGCATGAGCCGCTGTCTGCTTGTGTTTCAGTGCCCAGGTTCCTGGCCGTCGGATCCGCCTGCGTCCTGGCTCTGCTCAGATGGGCTTCTTCATTCCACGGCTCTCTGTTTCCACATCTGACTGTGAGTATGAGCTTGGATCGTGTCTAAGCTTTAGATCTGTGTCAGCGTCACACTGCAGTCATAATGGACGGCCTTTCTTTCTGTCCGCTAGCTGAGCAGTGACGAGATGGTGGCAGAGTTTTCACAGATGCTGGATTGGTACGTTTACACTGTTTTGGTTCTGAGACCTTTATAAACTGAGCATGGGAGACGATCCATGAGCTTCTGGTCTGGTTTCTGTGTTGTTTTCAGGTCTGACAGCGCTCTGAGAAGCTTCGCCTGGCATCCGCACACTGATAAGTTTGCTGTAGCTCTGCTAGACGACTCCATCAGGATTTACAAATCTAACAGGTATCCCATTGGACACTAACACAAATCTTACATTACATATCAAAAAGTACAAGTTAGATTTTATACTGTAAATCAAAATTACAATTACAGATCCTCGTGCACCATAAGTGTAGTTTGAACGACAGCTCCGTGTATTCATTCAGCAACAAAACCACTTAGACTTAGTTTTTGTGATGTACCTAAACGTTTTAGAGTTAAATTGACTTGAATATGACATGATGAAATGTTGATAACATGTAAAGCATCAAAAGGCAAATCTGTGTCTGAGAGCCTGCGTTTTACACACTTTGTTGAAAGGTGCATCAGTCTGGTGCACTTTGAATGTTTGAAAACCTATTTTCAGGATCCAAATTGAGTATAAAGTCTTGCATTAGCCTTGTAGCTGGAATTCAAACTGAACTCAAACCTGTTTTTAGTAGTCTCAATCTGCATTACATTCACACTGGTGCTTTTAGGAAGAGAAACCATTCTTTTGTGTAAACTTCACTTACAGAAGATAAAGCCGTGAACTTTCATTTTGATGGAAGGGTGCAATTTCAGTGAAATTACAAATGCTTCTCAGTAAAAATATGGTAATGCACGAAAGTGTTGGAAATTACGCAAATGTGAAAATTGCAGTAATTTTTGCCAAAGGTGCTTCAACAAAGTACTGAGTTACTGAAAACTTATGCAAAGATGATACTTTTTTTTTTTTAAATGTGCAAAGTTATCACAAATCCATTTTTGTTTGTTTTATTTGCTTGGCATGGAGTGTGTAGATTGATTTATATAATAATGTAAAGCATTTTTAGCATAAGGCCGAAACAAAATCAAAATGCAAAAAAATGGATTTGAGTAGTTTCTGAATGCACTGCATGAACTGTTGCATGAAATCAACATCACACATGCAGTCGTGCTGATATTCGTGAAAACAGCGCTCCTGATTATGTGCTGCTCACAGCTTGGTTGCTAGTGAGTTTTCTAGTTTTGTTGCATGACTTGCGATGTTTCTGATCCTGCTAGCAGCACAAGTTGAAGCTCCGTACTGATTTCCAGAAGTGTGATTAGATGTAGCTGACTTCTGTTAATTGAAATGAATGATTGCAGCTTCAGTGTGTGTTGTGCTGCAGTTCTGCGACGCCGACGCTGAAGCACCGCTGCCAGAGGTCCGTGTGCGCTCTGCAGTGGAAGCCTCTGTGTGGCTCTGCTCTGGCCGTGGCCTGTCAGTCCTGTCTGCTCATCTGGCATGTGGACCCCACCTCTCTCTCCACCAGGTACTGCTCAAACACCGCCTCCCTCTGGCACACTACTGTTTCAAAGCAGCTGTGGAGAAGACCATCACGCCACACAGGCAGAGCGCGCAGATCCAGTTTGATGTGGCGTTTTTCCTGCAGCGAGTGAATGCGCCAGGTGTCCAATATGTGTACGTTTAGGGCAGGCATATTACAATGGCGGACGTAACCGCAATGCCAGCACTGTCTTCCATTTCTAAATAAAGTGTACCGCATCAACACAACAGAGCGGTTCACACCACAAGCGCTAGGGGTCCTTTATGGTAATGATCCACGTATATATTTAAATTTTTTTATCTAGAGCCAGATGCGCTTCATTCAAGCCGTGCGTTTCTAAAGACGCTAAAGCACCAGTAAGAGCAGCGGATGATGCGCTTATTTTAAAAAGAGCAGAAACAAAGTAAAATAGATCGATACTGTTCCTAAAAACACAACAGAAAACAACAATGCTGCAAATATCATCTGACCGTTCAAACCAGGTTTTTTTAAAATCTACATTTAGCATTATTAATCAGTATGTTAAGAGCATTTTAAAAATAAACATAGGCTATAATTCTTAAAACTGGGGAAATTATTTAGATGCAAGGAAAGACATCATAAACATTGAAATTAATAATTAACTTTGTTTAATGCTCATGATGAGAGCGTTTTGATTGTTTTGTTTTAAGCAAAGTATAAAAATCATCCAAACATTAAGAGAAAATCTCTAAGCCCCCATATATTTTCTTTCTCATGGGCTTCTGCTTTACATATGTATCTAAACGTAAAAAAAATAAATAAATAATAATAATAATGGCTTGGTAAAACATCTGACCTTAGCTGTTAATACTCGTATCTAATTGGGCTCAATTGGTGAATTTTTTTTTTAGAAATAGAAAAATTCTCAAGCCACTGTCCTTTGGCTCTGAGGATCCAATATCCTCATCTTTGATTTTGAATGTTTGTTTCCTCTCTCTCTCTCTCTCTCTCTCTCTCTCTCTTTATTTTATTGCTTTGAAGAAATTATAATATTTTGCTCGATGTGCCCTCTTGTGGCCTCAGGAGAGAATCCAAAAGCTTTTTTCCCCCTAACTGGAATTATGCCTTTTAAATTTAAATATAGTTTGAATATTGATAATATTTAAGTACAAAATTCGAGTTTTTCAGCCATTTTGACAGCCCTACAACTCGCACCAAGAGAAGGAACAACGAAGCGTTATCAGACGTAGCAACTTCAAAAACAGTCAGTACTGAAATGAACGAGACCAGCATTTCCCGCAATCCGTTGAGCGTGTGAACACAATGGCCAATCAGAGGTGTTTAAGAATCCGCTCAAAATGCTGGTATCGTCACAATTTTAAACTTTCAGTACCGACTGGTTCCAAAGTTGGTACGTTTGACAACCCTACTTCAGACACGAAATCTGTGCATATATAAGCGTCAGTCAGAAGGGAAAGCAGGAGAAGCCGTGATCTGACGGAGTCAATTCAATTCAATATGTGCTTTATTGGCATGACAAGTGTTACAATGTATTGCCAAAGCATAGTGTTTACATCAAATCTAGAACAGATATATATGCAACAAAAACATGCATGTATATACATTTTAAAAGTAGAACAAATTAACATTTTAGAATTCTACGAACAATTTATAATTCAATGTGGTGTGGGTGTGTGTCTGTGTGCGCATCACTGATTTGTTGACTCCTCCCTCTTTTTGTGACGGGCATCAATGTATCTTGCTGCCAGAAAAATACAATCTTGTTTTTCACCTAATAAATATTGAAGTTGTGTTTTCTTGTTTAACATTT